TTGTGGGTAGGCCTAGCTCGTGTCTGGGGATGGTGCATAAACTCTACTGCTTAAGAGTGGTTCCCAGAAGTGATCTGACTCAGGCACAGTGCTGAGTCACAAGTCCTCCCCTGCTTCCTCCTTGCTTGCAGAAAGTAGTAGTTTTCTTCTGAACTGTATTAGCAGAAAAATAATTACCTCCCACACCCTTGGCACTGGCTTGAGTATGAAAATCTGTGTGTGTGTATGTGGAGGTGGGGGAGGGATGGATGGAGGTGAAAGTCCTCTCCTTTCCCTTTGATTCCTGCTTGTTCCCAGAAGGTTGTTTGTATGAGGTTGCTCTTGCTCATACTCCTGGTTCAGGCACCACCATGGTGTAGGCAAAATATAGCACTGTGAAACCATGGAAGGAGTAGACTCAGGATATGCTTTCTCTGAAAATCTGGACAACTAATGTGATTAGAACAGGAAACCACCCTGTCCAGCAAATCAAGTTTAATCCAGAATTGAAGACACGTGAAAATGTAAGATAGAGCTGTGCTTGGAAAAGCCCAAATGTTTTTTCTGAGACAATCTGCCATTAGTTTCCTTGGATATGTTCCACAGCGCAACAATGCCAAGTGCATTTTAGCAGCTGAGTCCAGTGCACGGGGTTTTTTTTTGTGCCATCTTGCTGAGCATTGGTTGAAATCCAAAAAAGCTTGTAAGTACACAGTGGGGTATGTAGGTAATCCCATTGATTTAGGTGCAAACACTTAAATGCTTAGAAATAAGCAGAGTCTTCAATAACTGCCTGGATTGATGAAACAGCAACCAGCCCCTCTCATGATTGTCTTCTGAGAGAAAAATACAGCATCATATAATAGCTCTCAAAGACCCGCAGCATTCCTAACAGTGTATTTCCCATAGCTTCAGTATGGCTTGGTATAGGCTCTCTCCTTTCTCTCTTCCCTATTCTCTCTACTCCCCAGTTGTGCCCTAAACTTTTGGCTCGATGCAGTCCTCTAGAGGCTGAAAAGGGCTTGACCTGGTTTAAAAAGCTATTTTGTTCACATGTAATAAATATTTTAAATGTTTTATCAGTGTAAATAAATGCTAAATTCTGTGAGCCCAGGGAATAGCATTAACGTGTTTTACTTACTGAAACATTTATGGAGTCAGTGTCAGCCAACAGAATGCAGCCAAGAGTGGGGTTTTTTTAAAGGTAAACTGAAATGCTTTTAAAATAAATACTGAGAGCCGTTTAAGATCTTCAATTATTAACAGAAGAAAAGCGCCAGCTGAAAAAAAGTGCAAACAATCCCTTTTGTGGCACTTTCCCTAACCTGTGTGCAGTTCCCTCTTTGTCCAGCATGGAGTGAGCGCCGCAAGGCAGACGCTGTGTCTTCACAGGTGTCTGTGGAGTGTCTAGTACATGGAGGGAGCTTCCACGAATTAATAGGTAGATATAGAATGGCAAATATTTGAAAGCCATTTATTTTTATATGTATTTGCCAGGACTCAGGTCAAACATAAGTTCAGGACTCTGTGTTTATGGTTGGCCAACGATGGTGTTGCCAGCCCCTCTGTTAAGCAGTGTGAAGACATAGCTCTTCACTCCGCTGTGGGAAGGCAGTGATTGGCGTCACCTACTTGAAATCCAAAGGCCAGCTTTTCAGTCTGATCAGGTCACCAGGCATGCTGATTTAATTGTGATTATAAGCTACACAGCTCCTTGCCAGGAGTGCAAGCCGTACGTCCACAAGGGAGAAAATGCCAAAGCTGTGCAGTGGTGTATTAGGGACAGCATCGGGTGAGAGGGACTGAATTGCCCCTCTGTAGGGAGCACCCATGTTGGGTGATACCCGAGTGTCACAGTGTGCAAACATTAAGAGCATGCATGAGTTAGTTTTTTATAACTTCAACTGTCTTTTCTTCCTCTGCAGAAGGAAGGAGCATGTACAAGTGTGTAGAAGTTCTGATCGTTGGTTAGAAAATCTTTGTGTCTGCATGTAAGGGGATGATTTGCCTTGATTTACCCTGATCAGAAAAGCGTCTGATCATCCACAGACACTGACTGCACCTCTCAGATTTCAAAACACAAATTTGATATGTTTTGAAGCATGTGGGTTTTTTTATTAAAAGTGTCTCTGTTTGTTCTACTTACCCATGGTTCTGCCCCAGTCCTTTAACCCTTCTTTATCTGCTCTCCCTGTGGCTGCCTGAATTGAGAATAACAAAATAACTTACTGGCAGCAGCTATATTGCTGCATCAAGCTTGACAGCGATGCGGGGAGCATGGAGGTGCACATATATCCCTTGCCCCTCTACAAGTAGCATTTGTTACATCTTCTGAGAGTAGGATTCCGAAGTTGCAACAGAGTTAGCTGTTTCAAACTTTCACAGATTCTCTGAACGCTTTAATGGTAATGTATGTCAGCTTGCTAATTAGTGGAATCATCTGGATTTAAAACCAGACTGCCCTAACGGGGTGCTGCACAGGACACACATCAGTTCATGCTAACAGTATTCAGTAGCTCATCTCGTCTTCAAAGTTGGTTTATTATCCTTGAGAAGCTTTATCTCTAATTAAGCTAACTGAAGATCCTGTAAATCTTCCGGTGGTACGTGTTCCCCTTGGCTGTCTAAACTCCTTGTCATCTCATGTTTATGGTGCAAGGCTTGGATTTCACAAGCACTGCTTTGTTAACACAAGAGGCCTTGGTTTGTGCAGATACTGTCTTCCCTGGACATCTGTCGTACACTGAGGCACTTGTGTGGCGTGGGTGATGATGAAGCTACATTGAAAAAGAGGGAGCTTTTGGTTCATTATTGTGTCTGTCCTCACTACCCTCTCAAGAGCACTGGGTATATCCTATGCTGAATATTGAATCGATTAATAGTAATCATAATGAAGGCTAAATTACACAAGACCTGGTATTAGAACTCTTGACCTTGTAATCTTTGCTACATTTTGGATTAACAAGGCTCCTAAAATCACTAAAAATGACAGAGGCCTTCATTTGCTTTTGTGTAGATTTCTTTGAAGCTACAGATACTCCAACCTGAAAAGTTTGTGGTGTTTTTTCAGGTTCTTAGCCATCTGTAGTCTTACAACTTTCTTGTATTGTTGTACATTGTTTGGGAGAAGGTGAGACATTGTTTTAATTTTCTGGTGAAAGTTACATTCTTGACTGCCATGAAGGGTCGGAGTCATGTTGATAGGGACGGCAGTTCGTTTTTGTATATATTTAGGTTTAGTAGACTGAATGAGATGAGCATCTAGGGGAAAAGGTTTGAATATCTTATGTAATCACAGCAGTATTCTTTCACCAGAGACATTGTTTAGCCAGAGTAAGGACCTAGAGGTGAGTGAGCAGAGCATCCCCCTCTTGCACAGGGTGAGTTTTGATCCAGTCAGTATTGTATTTCACGTAAGGATCAGTTTGTGAAAGCCAGGATGCTTCATGCTGAATATCACTCCCTTTGGAGCGTAGCATGAGCCATTAACTGATAACTGAACTGACCGCAGACACCTGAAAAACTGTTCTGACTAGAGGGATGCTAGTAGCCAGCTTTGCATTACTAGGAGGCAGTGAATTCTGCTGCATTCCACAGTGGCTGGGGAGCAAACGCAGAGTCTCAGCCTTAGCTGTGAATTGACAAAAGGATTGCCTACGAGTGAAAGTGCTTGTCAAGAGATGTGTCATCCTTATTAGAAAGTATTTAAATTAGTTTAAAAAAAAAGTAATAAAAATGAAAATCCAAGATCTTAGATGATAAATTTTTAAAGTTAACAGTTATCACAAACTCTTTTGGCAGACGTATAACAGACATTTACAACTCATGAATCACATTTTTGAAAAATCACAGCTAATATCAACTTCTCTGAGGAGATGACAGCATTTTCAGGAGACCATTAATGGCTTCTGGCGCTCAGTCATTGCAGAATCATGAGCTCGTAATTGTTCTGATCTGGCTGTTTGTAGACTGTAGAGATCTGGAGGGCTCTCAGTACTTCCAACATTAATGACTTTCCAGTGACAGTGGTTGCCATCACTGCCACCAGTGATAATAACTTTTAAGACCTTTGTAAATGCAAATCCTCACTAAAGGCTTATGAGGCTGGCTTTGTTATTCTGGTTTTACAATGAGGAGAATGAGACCGTGAAAGGTCCATGAATCTCCAGCTGAAGGTACAGCTACTTAGTGCTTTACCAAACCTGGCTACGAGTCAACTTCCCTGGGCTATTCTAGAAGTGTGTGGCTCGCTCATGAGGACTTATACTAGTGTCATACCTTAACAACAGCTATGTAGTAATGTTTTCTTCATATTCCTTTCTGGAGACCTGGGCGACCTCTGTTATAAAGTGATCTGTAAACACTGGGGCAAAACCAGCACTGCTGGTTCGGACTCTCGCGCTCTTCTGACTGAAATAAGGTGAGGTGCATCTGAAGTGCAGGGAGATCCCGAGAGGGCCGAGAGCTCTTGGTTAGTATGGGTTTGGTGGTCCTTCAGCAGCTCAGGCTCTGCCTGAGACTGTCTTGACCTCTGGAAGAACCCAGAACCAGAGTGGGGACATGGCTTCAGTTTGCCATCTCTCCTCATGCTCTGTGGTAACCCAGAATTTGCTCTCTTATGTGCCTCACTGTTCTTGTCCTGTCTCGGTTCTGGTTGTTATTTGGGGTTTTTTTTCTGTGTTTTAACTCTCCTCAGTACTGTCTGGAAGTCAGCTTAGGTCTGGTTTTCAAGAACAGGTTAAGTAACTAATGTATTCCCTCCCCAGGCTGGTGGTATTTCAGTGACAGGTGAGGTAATACCTGTTTTACTTTAGTCTGTAATCCAGGCTGCTGTGGTAAGTTTGTGAAGTGTTGGGGATCTTCTGGAGGGCGGTGATCTGTAAATGTACATCTTTACGTCATCAAGATAACGAGCTTATGTGAGGGGGGATGAAATAAAAATGATGTATCGTTGTGCAATTGATAGCCTCACTAAATTTTGTTCTCTTGCTGATAAGTGCTTCCTTCTGTTCTCTCTGCAGGTCTCCAGGTGGTTTTAAATTCAATTATCAAGGCCATGGTCCCTTTGTTGCATATTGCCCTGCTGGTGCTGTTTGTCATTATCATCTATGCCATCATTGGGCTGGAGTTATTCATGGGGAAGATGCATAAGACCTGCTACCATGTGCAAGGGGGACTTATAGGTAAGGGGAACACTATATGACACATACAAAGATTTTCTGGGGGAGGCTTTCCCCTTATACAATGGAGCATTTGTGCTGGCACAGGAGGCGGGTGGCTGTTGCTCCCTGCTGTGTACCTGTTTGGGGTTTCACAGTGGTGATTCTTTTGTTCTCCTTCTTGGGTATGAATCACCTTTGATGTAGAGAGACTGTCTGTAGCGGTGAGAGGTTAGCTTGCTCCTCTTGGGTACTCAGTTGTTGCTCTGTCTGTAAAGACTGTCAGTTGCTGCTGAACACACTAGTGGTTGTGTTAATGTGGACCTTTGGCACTAAGAGCCAGCCTGGGTTCTTCAACAAATCTCCCAGAAGCTCAAGCAACACTGAAGTAGTGATGAGTTCACCACTAGCAGACTGAGCTGCAACTGAGATGGCATCACGGAAAGGAACAACCCTTATATGTTGTTATTAATCTTGTACGCAAATACGTCTTCATTTTAAACCAGTATCACTGTAGAGGAATATCTAAGTGAGGCCCAGAAGCCTTTTTTTAGTCACAGGCTGTGACTGCGGTTAGAAGTGCAGGTAATAAGAAAACAAAAGTATAGTAATGGGAAGAAACTTTATGCCTATAAATTTTTCTGCTTAAAGAAGTGTTTTCTGTGGCATTTCATGTCCCTTCAGAATATGGTTTAATGGTTTAGTGATGGACTTAGCAGTGTTTGGCTAATGGTTGGACTTGATAATCTTAAAGGTCTTTTCTAACCTAGAAGATTCTATGATTTTGCATATACCAAAGCATCCAGACAGGCTTCTTGAAAGTGTTCTCAGATCTTTGGAAACACGTGTGCAGAATAAGGGGTGGATAATCAAGCAGCAGAGTCTTATAGAGCTTCTGAGTGCCACTGAGCTATTGATAAAATGCCACACAGCTTCTAAACTCCAAAGAGCAGAGCTCCAGAGACTCTCTGCTGTAATTTAGCAGTAGCCTGCCACCGTATCAACCAGATATCTCCAGAGCACTGAACTGCTGCAACAGTTCAGCCTCCTTCAACAGGATCCCTCTCCGTGCTGCAGCTCCCTTCCAAGATTAACCCAGAGGCGAGGTGAAAACACTGGTCGTAACATGCAGCCTAAGGAAATGTAATAGACATGATCTTCTGTTCCCTCTCATGTTGAAAGTCATTTCAGTTTTGATGGTAAAATTTGACAGCTTGGCCATTATTTTTACAAAGGAAAAGCAAAGAACAACAAAACATCCTTCTGCCTGTTAAAATTAATAGTTTCTTGTGTATTTCCTTGTCAAATTCACTGCATAAATGTGTTTGTTCGAATCAGATGTCCTTCACTCACTTATCAGTGTGTCCAATAGCAATTAGTCCTCTTCATCTCCGTTTCTCCCTCCTCTCCTTTAAGATACCCCTGCAGAAGACGACCCGTCTCCCTGTGCCCCCCAGTCTGCGCATGGGCGGCAGTGTCAGAACGGCACTGAGTGCAAGGCAGGCTGGGAGGGGCCTAAGCACGGCATCACGAACTTTGACAATTTTGCTTTTGCCATGCTGACGGTGTTTCAGTGCATCACGATGGAGGGCTGGACAGATGTGCTGTACTGGGTACGTATCCGAAAATGATAAGCTGAAAGGCCTGCTCGCGCGCTCCAGCTACGGGGCTTTAGCTTTCTTGCTTGTTCTCCATAGTGAAGGCATGGTTGCTGGCATGGAGCTTTAATTAACTCAGAATATTAGTGGGTAAAATAGGATGGGTTATCTGGCGCAGTTAAATCAAATGTAAATGTTGATTTTCCATTGATATCTTAATGATGAAAGTTGGCATGTGGCTTATTGGCTTGAAGATTTGCAATGTACCTTTGTTGAGCAGAATGTCATGTAAAGACCCTCTCTGCAGGAGTGAAATATCTCCTATATCTCCAGATTACTGATGTAGAAGTATTTGTGACAGATAACTGTGTGCTCTGCCCATGGCGTTGACGTTACAAAGGCACTACGCTGATCAGCTCCTAGGAAAGGCCTCACAAATCCCTTTACATGCGAGCATTACTCATGATTATGACTTTTAGCGTAATAGTATTAGAATAAATTCTCCTCAGTCTGATAGTGGCATCAATCACGGTTCCATGTTTAGCCAAAACATGACACTATCTTTAATCTAAATGCAGTCTTATCTTGTCCTTTACACTAATTCTGGAAGTTTCAATAGCTTTAGTTTCTACCTTGTAATTCCTAACATGTTGAGGAATTCAGTGGCAATACAGCTACACTGTAGGAGTTAAAATCAGATTCAGCCTTCACAGGTAAACCAGATATAAACATGTTTCTGGATTCAGCTCTTTCCATCACCTTTTGCAGCAATATGTTATGGTCCAGGAATTGAATTCACACACAGCTCAGTCTTGTCTGTATAAGGCTAACCCGGACTGTGACTAGCTTTGAAAACTTATGATGTCGCCTGGTTCTCCAAGGTGGTAGGATTTCCACGGTAAATAAGGCTTGTGCTACAATGCACAATGGAATTTAACTCAAGAAGACCCAAAGCACAGAAAAGACTTAACCTGGACTGAAACCGATAGCACTGTTAACCAACATCAGCTTCTCTCTTAAACATGAGCCCGAAGCTGCATTCTACCCACCAGTGAGTTAGAGTTGATGGGATTTCCCTTTGAAGATTTAGCTAATCTACAATAGATATTCTCTGTGTGGAACAGCTAGTAGTTGTCTCTTTATCCTCGTGAATTTAGATTAGAATTGTGACTCTAGCTTCCTTCTAATGCCTGAGATAAAGGGCAGAGATCAAACCACAGGGGGAGTCTGGGTCTCAGAGCATAAAAATTGCCTTTACTTGAAAAGAGGGTATAGATTAATGAAATAATGAAGAAGAACAGAAGTTAAATCAGAAAAGGAACTGCACAAAACTACTCCACTGCTCAACTATGTCTATATATAATACACTTTGTCGTCTTATCCCATTCAGCTCACATTCTGCCAGTCTTTGTGTGATTGAGAGGGTGTATCGGTAGTTCAGGGCAAATAGAGGAGAGTAAAAGATATCAGAAATAAACATGAAAATAGCTTTGGCAGTGTATACCCTTTAGCATTAAAACCTATCCACAAGTTATTATAATTTTCTCCAAAGGCACGTGTTAGGGCAGATCCTGCCAATCCCCACACTTCTGGGTCCATGCGTCATTTGCATGACTGGTTGTGAATCATTCAGAACTCAGTTATCAGTTACCTAATAAAAGAAGCCAAAAGCATATACTCACTGCTAAATGATTTTCTACCATGGCTGCTGCAGATGGTCTGATTTTTTTGTGGTGTCCCTGCAGCAACCTGGATTTTAACTGTTGGCTTTTGTTTGGTATTCAGCCTGCTTTGTTCACTGATTTACCAAACTGGTCTTTTTTCTTTAGAGATAGTATAGTGAACTAAGACCCGAAATTAATACAGATTGATGGTCACTATTTTTAAGGGCATCCGTACACTTAGCCTCTGAGATTATGGCTTTGATAGAATGCTTGCTTTGGAAACAAAAGAAATAGTTGTTATCAGTTCCCAATTATTCCTAGACAAGACTACAGAAGATAAGAGTTAGCACTGCAGATAAAATTTCAGTAATTGAGAAGGAGGAAATCTAGTTTGTAAAGAATAAAATATATCACGTATGTGTAAAGGTCATGAAATACAAAGTTTGAGTAAATGCCTGAACACCTGAGCTGACAGATATGCTTGGTTAAGCTGCTGTAAACAATCCTAAGAGTACTATTGTCCCATATGACTTTTTGCCTCTTTGTGTTACATTGACAAAGTGGATAGAATTCAGCTCTGATCAGTGTTTGCCATACAGTGAAAAAGGTATCTGAGATGCGATGTGTATTTCCTTCTGCAGAGAGGTCTGTGCTACTCTGGGGGCAGATGTTGGTCGGGAAAATACTACAGGGCATACTTACGGAAAGCACTGTGGCTTTAATATCTGTATGTAGTAGCAGCATCTAAACATTCACACTGTAATTTCATATGTGGGTGTTTCAAACCATTTCTATTGTGGTTTATACAGTAAGCTTTATAGTCCATGGAAAGGACATTCTAGTGTAAGCATTCAAAAGGAAGAGTCCTTCTGGGTAGTAGAGAGTAGAAAAGATGCCACATTTCAATTTCTGAGAGTGAAGGAAGAGTTTTAGTAAATGGGGTAGGATATAAATACAGATTTTAAACTTAGTGTGAGCCACTTTTTCTTAGTGAAGTCTGACTCATATATGAGTCTACTCCCTGTCCTTTTCAGCCAAGGGAGAGTGGACTTGTTGTGGACAACCCATTGGGGGTTGCATCTCCATAGGAGTGAAAAGATAGGAGGCTAGTCTCTTCTCAAGTACATAATGCTTTGAAAGATTTCTTGGATCCACAGTGAGGTCATGGAAATTAAAATGTACTTTATTAGGAAATATATCTGCACAGTTAATTAAATTAGAAATCCAGACTTAAAGATCCTCTCTCTCCAACTACATCCTGAGATAGAAAGTTCAGTGTCCATTTTACACTGAAAAGAAAGAACAGATTAAAGAACAGGATAAGAAAACGTCTGCAAATCAGACAATTTTGCAGCTGAAAATTTTAGGTGATGATTTTCAGAGGTCATTCCTTCAACTTAATGATGTAAACTAATGGCTTATTGTTAAAAGTGCTGAGCATTCCATGTTCAAGCAGGCTGTTAGGCTTTTAGCTCCTCTGCAATTCAGGGTAGACGCCAAGGTTTGAATCTGGGGTCCTGCTGGGGTCAATGGCAAAATTCCAATTAATTTCAAAAGGTCAGGATCTCACCTTCTGTTTTCTAAAATCTTGCTGTTGAGATTTTCCACGTGCAGTTATGTGTACGACATGAAGACTTACAGATGCCTAATCAGGGCCTTGGTGTCTGTTGTGATAGTCTTCCAAGGACATACATATGGATGTAGGGAGTTTTCTTTGCCTCCCTCCTTAAATCTGAAAAAACGAGCCTGACCTAAAACTCAGCAGAACAACAGATAAAGCTCTGGGCTGAATTACTTGGCTGGAAATGTTTAGAAAATGGAGCAATTCCCTTGGTTTGAACTTTTCTGTAAGTGCTTTTCAATTATATCTTCCTATTTTCTGAAAAATAGCTTTTGAAAGGTACCTAGATCTCTGCATTCCTCTCGTTAGGAGTGGAGAGAACCTAGCACATTTTATCATGTTGTCCTTAAAAATACACTAGTAATTTAATGAAACCTATGCCTGTCTTATGCCACACATTGCAAGGTTAAACCTGCATGTTTAAAAGTTAGAAAGCTGTATGACCTTCCACAAGCCCTGGACTCCTAATCCACTTAGTAGCTCTTCAAATTTTACCTTCACTCTCCTGCTTCCTTCTTCATGCTTCCCCTCATGCCTCCTCCAGCTTTTCACCTCTGTTGTGAAGCCTGTCTCCTCTCTCACAGTGTACTATTTCTCAGCCTGTGATCCACATCCTCACAAAAAGATAATCGGAGACAGGAAAGCAATAAACTTTTATTCCCTAGAAGGATCTGACATCAATAAGATCAATACACTTCCCAATCTCCTCTCTCACACAGCAGATAAGACTTGTGAGTAGATTGGCTGCTTTTGAGATCTGAAAAAAACCCAAAATGATAGGGAAAACAGTTTGACAGTGTCACAGTGGCAGGTAAGATAATTACTTACAAGGAGACACATTTTTAATGTAAAATAACTATATTGGACAGGATGAAAATCTGTAAAAAAGAACCTTGTGGACTTTTTGCTGAAGAATTGATCATTGTTGAAGGGAGCGTTAAGTGTTTATGGGAGCACATCTCCTGCACTGCCTCAGTCTTACGAGGTTTACTTTGTCCCAGCATAACTGCCAGGTGGCTTTGCCTCATACACAGTCAGTTCACAGCATCGTTGGAGTAGACAGGCACCTCTTACGATACGTCACATCGTGATTTTTCCTATGCGCTGTAGGAAGATTGAACTTAACTATTCTCAAAACTCTCCTTCATGTACGATCAGCCAGCGTTAGCAGCTCGCTCCCTTGTGCAGGCACCAAGGCCCGTTTCTGAAGACCCCTCAGTCTTGGAAACTTCCAGCAGCACATGCAAATCCTAATGTTACAAATTGAGTCATTTGGTATTTTGTAATCAGACTCTGCTGCAGTCCGTTATTTCTTATTGTCTTGTAGACTAAGGAAGGAAATAAAACCTTGGGCAGTCTGTAACATCCTGGTTAAGTATTTGTAGGCATTTGTTGTCTTCCCTTAATCTTTTTGTAATCTGAGCAGGTTCAATTCTTTCAAACTTCCCTAATGGGGCTTCTTTTTAATTATTTTTAATCAGTTTGTTACCATCTTTCAGGGGAAGCTTCACTCCTAAGTTAAATGCAATTCGGACAGTGCCCTGTCTCTAGAAAGGCTTTCATCTTGATGTGAAATGTGCTTTCTGCAGCTGGAGCCCTGTGACACTGCATGCAAAACTGCCCACTGCACCCTCAGTTTTACGCGCCTGGTGTCTCCACTACCCTGCATCTAAGCAATCATGTCGATAAATGAAAACAGAGTGCAGAACAAGTGCGGAACGCAACCGTAC